TATCAAACACATTTTTTCACAAAAATTATTTCAAGGAACAAAAATAGAAAAAGAATATTTCTTTTCAACAATAGTGACAGGGAATAGAATGGTTGTCATGCACACTTTATAATTCTCCTTAGTTTTTCACATTATGTAAAGCCCGACTCAATCAGACTAGTTGGATAATGATGAAACAATGAAAAAAATCCCAAAAATTAACTATTTAGGTTCATTTGAATCTCGTAATGTTACTGAGCAATGTTATTAAACTCGGCCCAGTTATTGACACGGTCGAGATACTTACTGGTTCAACTAGTGGGTCACTGATTCAACCGCATAACGTGGTAAGTATATGTAAATCTATAATTTATATTAAAAAACTATAAATATACTTAAATACCTGTAAAAAGTGATACCAATTTCAAATATTTTAGGGTGTGCATGTCAACCATTCTATTCCTAGGCACTGTTTCTGAAAAGAAACAATTCTTTTTCTATTTTTGTGCCTTGGAACAGTTTCAGAGAAAAAAATATGTTTGATAACATGTTCTATTTTTATTCTGAGAATGGGAATGCGTTTGATAACATAACAAATAATATAATAAAAAATAATTCTTATTAAGCATAAATTTTTTCGGATCATCATTTTCTTTTTCATATGGTGTGGTGGCGGCGGCGGCGGCAGTGGTAATGGTGGCGACGATGACAGTGGTGGTTATAGTGACGGCAGTGGTTGCAGCGATGATGATGTAATGGTGGCGGCATAGTGGTGGTAGTGGTGGCGATGGTGGTGGTGTAATGGTGATGGAAGTGGCTGCAAAGATGGTGGTGGTTGGTGGCGTGGTAGTGGTGGCGGTGGTGACATAGTGTGTTCGTGATGGCTTGACGGTGATGGTGACAATAGTGTCTGTGGCGATGGTGGTGGTGGTTGGTGGCGATGGCGTGGTGATGGCATGGTGGTGGTAGTGATGGCAGTGGTTGCAGCGATGGTAGAGTGGTGTTTGGAGACAGTGGTGGAAGCGGTGGCATCGTGGTGGTGGCGATGGCGGTGGTGGTGACAACAGTGATTGCATTGATGGTGGTGGTGGTGACGGTGATAGTAGTAGTGGTGGCGGTGGCGGTGGTAGTGGTGGTGATGGTGGCGATGGGTGGAGGTGGTGGCTGTGGCATCGTCGTGGTGGTGGTGGTGAAGGCGACATTGGTGGTACAACGACGACGGTGATGATGGTGGTGATGGTCGTGTCAGGATGATGGTGGTGATGATGATGATGATAGTGGTGGAGAGTGATTCAGAGAAATAAGTGTTTCTCATTTTGTGCCCAGGAACAAAAAAGCAAAAATTATTTGATTCTTTTTTCTATTCCCCAGCACAAAAATTAAACATGTTCATCACGGGAACAAAAAAATAAACCAGTTTTACCAAACGAGTTTTCTATCTATTTCTCTTCCCAGGAACAGAAATTAAAAAAAATTTGATTCCGCGAAGGTTGTCATGCACAATATGAAAAATAATAAATTATACATCATTGTCCAACAAAAGATCAATCAAATATATAATATTTGTGATACTGGTATTTCAAGTTCAGTAGACGACATCTCGCACTATAAATCAAATCAAAATTTCCTGCATAATGCATAACCAAGATAATATTAGTGTTGTAGGTACATAATTTATGTAAGTTAATAAGATACAGATCACTCAAATATTTCAAAAGAAAACAAATTATTTGTGTCTGAGAGTTAAAAAAAGAAAGGCATCAATTGATGAGAACACACCAGCTTTTCTTTTACGAACCAGGCCGGGTCACTGGTTGAATCGACTAGGTCGCTGATTTTTACGAAAATTGGCCGGGGTCGCACCAGGTCACATTGGTTCTATAACATGCCGGTTCAATATGAAAATTGGACTGGTTACATGACCGATTCATCAATTTCTAGGTCGATCCGATTTTTATAACGTTGTTACTGAGTGTAGTGTTTCTCCCATGAAAAAGAGATAACTTTGAGTCTATTTTTCACTTTTTTTAGGAAAAAATTACTTTTAAACTAGAGTTAAAAAAAACCTTAAAAATAAAGTTAAAAGAGTTGTTTGGTGATTATATAAATTTTTTATAAAAGTTTTGAAAGGGGACATCGAATGATTTGTAATTAGATGGATACTATTTTTTGCACTCACATAAAAATTGATCAGGTCATTCGAAAAAATAAAAAATAAGGTCGATCCACTTTCATATCCAAAAGATTTAAGGACGTTTGGTAGAAGAGAATTTTTTTTATCCGGGAATCATGATTCCCAGTAATATAGTGGGAAAGTATATTTTCCGTGAATGTGACCAAAAAGTTATTTGGTATGCCAAAATATTACCAAGATTATTTACTTAAGTTTATTGAGTCTATGTTTAGTTGATTGTCTAGTATTACTGAGAATGTGGGGCAATTTTACAAAATTAACCTCACACAGTGCATCCAAGAATCTCACGGCAATCCTCATGCCTCTAATAATCCTATGCATCCAAGACCATAAAATAATTGAATTTGCAAGATTTAAGAACTTGGGAATTCAGGAATCAATTCAGCTAGTCCATTTTCTAGTCTGAATGTCATAACAATGGATCGAATTTGTGATTCTAGCTAACCTTGAAAAGTAACAGCAAACAAAAGCGAGCAAATTTTCAGGCAAAAAAGTGACAAAAAAAGGAAACAAAAGGCAAAAAGAGAGAGAGAATGAAGGAAGAGAGACAGGGTGGTATGAATGTCGGATGGGAGCTGAGGAAGATCCTCCTTCAATGGCGGTGACTTCGCCGAAGAGGATCAAGCAGGGACCATGTGACTTGGTGGCAGTGATGGCGATGAGCGTGTGACCATAGCGAGGACCAGGAGTATCTTCATCGGTGTTCTAGTAGGTTTCTAAGAGGTGCATAGGTGGAAGCGATGTGCAGCTAGGGCTTCGACCCTATCGAAAATCTCCACTCGCAATTATCACAAAATTTGATGATTTAAACAACAACCTTCTTTCAATGAACAAGGACAAAGAAAGCAACAAAAAAATTGGAAACAGGGCAAGGGTATTTTTGTTAGAAAAAATAGGAAACTTTTTCTCGCAGGGCAGGAATCCAAGAATACCACCTCTGGGTTGTATTCTAGATGATATTTTGATTTAGAAAATACACACAAAGTGAAATCTTGAAAAAATCACTTTCTCGGGAAATTTTTTCAAAAAAGGCTATCAAACATGGACTTCTTAGAATCCCATTCGTACTTTCCTGGATTTTCAAAAATAATCTCTCTACCAAATACTCCATAAAGGGGCTCTTTGACCGCTGGGGTTTTTTGTGATGTTAATTTATGAATTTGATATTTGGTTGAAGGTATGTACGAATTGGGGTCATTTAGTGACGCGAGGGGGACCCAGCGTCACTGAGTGCCGCTACCATCCCCTCGCGTCACTCTCACTTTTTTTTATTTTTTTTTACTTTTTTCTATTGAGTGCCGCCCCCTCCCTTGAGGCACTCACAGAATTGTGCCAAGTGGCACAATCTGGTTACTTCTATTACCGTAAAACTTCAGAAAGCCATAACTTTTGACTCGGGTATCCAAATCAGATGATTTTTTTTGATTTCACATAACTTTCCGAGATCTACGCAATGACATCTCATTTGACATATTTTATCTCTCACAAACATAATTCAAATCTGTAAAAAAGTGTAATTAGTGTTGCACATTTGAACTATATTAATGGAAGATAAAATATGTCAAATGAGATGTCATTGCGTAGATCTCGAAAAGTTATGTGAAATCAAAAAAAAAATCATCTGATTTGGATACCCAAGTCAAAAGTTATGGCCTTCCGAAGTTTTACGGTAATAGGAGTAACCAGATTGTGTCACTTGGCACAATTCTGTGAGTGCCCCAGGGGAGGGGGGGCGGCACTCAATAGAAAAAAGTAAAAAAAAAATAAAAAAGTGAGAGTGACGGGAGGAGATGATAGCGGCACTCAGTGACGCTGGGTCCCCCTCGCGTCACTAAATGACCCCCGTTCGTAAATACTTTTAATGCAATACCAAATTGATAAATTAAAGAAATTAAAACCCCTAATAGGTGAAAGAGCCCCATAAAGGTAATATATCTCTCCTTTTACTAGAGAAGCAAAAGTAATATAGCAGACACAAGTTTTTGGTGGAGCCCACCGCTAATAAAGAGAAAAATGACTTATATGTTTATCAATGTATTTCTAGAGAAAATTTATCTCTCCTGTAAAAGTTTACAGGAGATAATATTACTCAAGATTAATCCCATAAATATTTTAGGATATAATATTTTTCTTATTATAATAGATAAATTTATTTTTATATACATATATCAGACCCATATAAAAAAAGAGAAAATAAGAAAATACAATTCTACTTATACGTGGGTTAGGAAATTAAATCCAATATTTTATCCATGCATGAATAGTAATAGGAGAATATTACTCTCATGTTATATGAGATCTCATGTTATAGAGAGAATCCAAGTAAGGCCCATCGTTAAAAAGCAAAAAAAAAAGATATGATTTTTGAAATTTTTATCATGAGATAATTATATCATATAAAATGAGAATATTATTTTCCATAGTAATAAAGAGGGGAGATATTCTTACAACAAAAAATATCCCTATCACTACCTTCACAATTACTATTGAATCAAAGAGAGAAACTGCTAAAATTTTTTTTGAAGAAAGAGAAAATATTGATCCAATGGTGATTATAGCGGTAGTGAGTTAGTAGTAAATTTTTCTAGTAGTAAGAATATCCCCACTCAATAATAAATAGTAACCAAGATTAAAATGTTGGGCTAGAGGGGGGAGGGGAGGTAAGATAAAAAGAAACGGCTTGGTTTTAACCGGACCATGATGGAAAAAAAACCCATTACCATTCGAATTACCAAATACGCATCATAGGTGTGTCTCTCCCTCTCTACCATATATATATAACAACACCACACACATATACACACACACAAACGCAGTCGCACATAACACCAAATCTCATCTTCTTCGTCATCATCATCAACGAGAACCATAACCCACTCTTTCTCTCTCTAAATCTTTTCCGATTCTCTCTCTCTCCCCTTCGATCTATGAATTAATTCAGATTTCAATAATTTATTGCTGGTTAAATACTTTTGAATTCTGATTCATATAGATAAATTTCAATCAGATTGGATCGTTATAGAAACGAATGGGAGCATTGTTGGATGAATCTTGCAGAGTCTGAAATAAAATGCCAGGATTAGCGCAATTCAGTAATGGTTCATCGACATCGCCCGCGAGGTACTCTCTCTCCGCCAATGGATTCTGGTCGAAGAATCGTGACGACGTTAGCTACAATCAGCTCCACAAGGTACTCGATCCAATTTTATTTTATTTTTAATTTTTTAATTTTTTGTAAGAATCGTTTTTATTAGTTCTCAGATTTATTTATTTATCGTTTGAGATGATTCTAGATCACTGTTTTTGTATTCGTTTTTGTGTTGTTAATGATGGGTTGTTTGACTTTGTATCGGATCTTGCATTTGTAACAATTCAATCATTGATTGCGTTTTTGAGGGGTTTAGAATGTATCATTGCTAGATGCGATTATTTCCCCCTTTCTTTGATTAGGCTGTTTGTGTTTGACGAATGGAAATTCACTTTACTTCTAATATTAGCGTCAGTGCCTGGGAAAAACTATAAAAAAAATTGATGTTATATGTGAATTTCTAGTATTATAAGGTGTTTATTTCAATAGCCCATTGAGTAATATACTAATATGTACTATAAAAAAGGGCAACTTGGTGCTATAAAGCTCTAAGTGTGCATGGTCTAGAGAAGGGCTATAGTAGGTAGCATGTTGCATTTGAAAGAAGTTGATTACATCCATCGGACCTGTGATCTTCGGGTCACATCGTAAAAACTCTAACCGTTGTGGCAAGGTTTCCCTTCATACTAATATGTACTATGTATATTTTTACAAGCATTGTCTTTCTGTTGGTTGAGTTTCCTGATACTTTTTTAGCTGAGGCAATGACTTATCCATGATTGTAAGCAACTGACAAAATTGTGGGAACAAAGGGGGCAGAAAAAGGAAGGAGTATCCATTGGAACTGATATTAAGTCACAGAAATAGAATTTTGGTCTTAGGATGTGTTGTGCATATTACCATTTTTTTTAGATAAAATCACAATTTGTAATGTGCTTAACGTGTTGCTTGTTGTGTGTCTTGCTTTCTTGTGATATAGTTCTGGAGTGAGTTGTCGCCACAAGCTCGGCAGGAACTCTTGAGGATAGATAAGCAAACCCTTTTTGAGCAAGCACGAAAAAATATGTACTGCTCTAGGTGCAATGGGTTACTTCTTGAAGGCTTTTTGCAGATTGTTATGTATGGGAAATCTTTGCAGCAAGATGGAGCGAGTGTTCACTTTACTTGCAGCAGACCTGGAGGTTTGAAAAATCAGAATAACAGTGGATCGTCCATTTTCAATGGGATCCAGGACGAAATTCAAGATTCTTCTGTTCATCCTTGGGGAGGTTTGACCACAACGCGTGAAGGTTCACTGACACTAATGGACTGCTACTTGTATTCAAAGTCTCTGAAAGGACTCCAAATTGTAAGTCCGGCACATTTGTATGAGTTCTCATGCAGCCCTTTTCCTTGTTTGGTTGCTTAACTTTTTCTCATATCAGGTATTTGATGGGGCACGTGCAAGGGAGCGGGAAAGAGAACTGCTTTACCCTGATGCTTGTGGTGGAGGAGGCCGTGGTTGGATAAGCCAAGGAATCGTGAGTTATGGCAGAGGGCATGGGACAAGGGAAACCTGTGCCTTACACACTGCCAGACTTTCATGTGATACACTTGTGGATTTTTGGTCAGCACTGGGAGAGGAGACAAGGCAATCTCTTCTAAGGATGAAAGAAGAAGATTTTATTGAGAGACTCATGTACAGGTGTCTATCTATTTTTACGTGCCTCAGACTGTTTTAGCCTTAGATAGGTGACAGCTTGTTATCAGTAGAATAATAATATAAGTTCTTCTACTAGAAGCAGTAAAACAGTTAAAACTGATATACAAGGGATCAGAATTTGAGACATGCACCTGAAGGGTTTAAATGTCCTGAATGTGGCATCTTCAGCAGGATCAAATATTTTTTGTAACCCTAAAAATTTGGAAAAAGAAAGAAAAAGTAGGTTTATCCTGTTTGATATTCTTACCATTCATATGGAAGTAATTTGTAATGGATTAACTATTTGCCTGATTATAGGACAATTGAGCTGTTGGCTTGTTGTTAAAAAGTTGAATGGGGAAACTCCATCGTAGACATGGAGTTATAAATTGGATTATCAGCATACATCAAATGCAGTAAATGAAGAGTAAAACATGCCGCATTAATGGAGCTTATCTCAGTTACATAATCAGGCAGATGAATGGGACCTATTTTTATGATTCACAGGCTTTTATGTTTTAAGATGAATCCATAGACTTTGTCAAGGTTAGACTGTAATGGGTAGAGCTGCTTATTATACATTGGTCAGTGATGCAAGGTCTTCGGTTCTTCTCTGCTGAATATGCCTATATTCTGTCCATAGTTATCAAATGCGGATTGCGGCATGTAGCGGCCAACCCCGAAAAACGCTATAGCGTTATAGCGGGTTGCGGTTGCGGAAATAGCGGAATAGATATATGACAAAAATAATGACAAAAAGAAACATTTTTTAAAGGCAAAGATAGTAGAAATGATAGAGAGACGTGGATAGGCTAAAAAACCCTTAAATTTTTTTGTTACACATTTAAATTTAAGACAAAATTGACATTTTGCCTTATGACAGCAATATGGCCGCAAATGCGATCGCAATGGCCGCTATTACGTTCCAGTACGGCACGGCGCGGTTTCTTGCGGCAAGGCACCGCAACGCCCATACGGCGCGGCTCGCGGCGCTATTGCGCCGCAATTAACTACTATGATTCTGTCAGCTTTCATTTGTCCTGGAGCTCACCAATCAAGGGGGCAGCCAAGGGCTGGATCTATATTTGCATGCCTTGCCAGAGCCTGTCTGCTTTTGAAGGTTTTGTCCTGAATCTTGCTTAGGATAGTTTAGATATTGCACAATGAAATCATGTCCCGAAATCATTTTAGTCCATGCTAGAATTATGGGTATGACACAAGACCTGGAGATGCAGAATGATGTTGACTGTTTATAGGACAGCCTTCATTTGTGACAAGATGGAAGGTATGGTCAATTGGACACTAAGCACTTTTTGGACTGTATAAATGGGTAACTGGATAAGAAATGTGACTTTGTTGAAGACTGTTATCAGTGTAGAAAACTATTAAGGAAAATCTTGTGAATTAAGGAAGCACTGACCTTAAAATGAAAGGGGATTAATTGGGGATTGATTCTTTAGAATTGAATGATGCTTGATTGTATTTAGTATAAATTGACAAGTAAGCTGGGGGAAAATTACCCAAAGTGCATCATCTTACAGCCTTTCTACATTGTCTCTCTTTCTCTATCTAACTCTCTCATTCTTCCAAATCCTTATTTTCTCTAAGTTTTCAACATGGTATCAAAGTGTCTATGACCAGTAGGTCTGGATAATCTTACAGCCTTTCTACATTGTCTCTCTTTCTCCGTCTTACTCTCTCACTCTTCCAAATCCTTATTTTCTCTATCTAAGTTTTCAACATGGTAGCAAAGTGTCAATGATCAATAGGTATGTATTTCACTCCTTTCCGTTGTTGTTCCTCATAAATAAGTTAAATTTCAGCACTAGGTAAGTGGGATTGTGCATTTTTCATGCCTATAAAACCATACTTGGATCTCCATCTGTAGCTAAAGCATTTAGTAGAATTGCATTGCATCTCCTAAATGCTGAAGCTGTTGGGCAGATGTCCAATAATGATTTTACATTTCTAACAAAACAATCGGATATGTAGGGAATTTGTGGGCTACAGACTTGGACAATAAGATAAGAAAGGATGATGTCATTTATGAGTTGTTATCTTGCAATTACGGAGAAGATAAATTCACTGATAAGGTGTTTCTGGGGTTGAACTCAACTGCATTATGCCCTCAAACTATGAATGTTGTTTCTTATCGAGTGTTTAGGCAATTGTGTAGTTAGCACAATAACACTGACCCTCTTGTGAGAGTTTAGTGATCTCATTTCTAAGGAGATTTGTTGAAAGGCAACACAGCTTGAGTATGCATAATTTAGACTTTTAAAACATAGAATGTGAGTTAAGAGACACAAAGAAACAGGAAAAAATATGAATTATTGTGTCATAGATATATATTATGGCATAGAATTGTGGACAAGGGTCCTTGCAAGTGATTTTGACATAGGCACATTTGTTGGTTGAATATTAATGCTTTTTTCTTTTCAAATTTTTCTCTGGTATAAGTAAGAAAGCATTATTATAGATTTACTGCAGTATTTGCATTTTGCTTCCCATTACTTGTTTATTTAGTGTTTTTGACTACGTTTTTGTCTCTGTTTATATGATCTTTCAGTAAAAGATAGATATTAAGTGATGTTTTATGTTGCATTCCATTTATTCAAAATGGTCAAAGTTCTGTCTGTTTGCTGGCTCATTCTATTTCATAAGAGAACTTGTTGCCTTCTATTGTTTTGTGGGTCTTCAAGCTGTTAGATTTAGAAAAATGAATTCCTTTGGTTCTTTAGCAAATTCTTTTCCCAACCTTTGTTCTCAGGCTAATTAAATATACATCTTCTTAATTTCTGGTATGATATAGTTTATTTTGTCATCAATTGAAACCCTATATGAAGCCTTGCTTTAAGGCCCTGTATGTGTGCTTTAAATTTTTTGTTTTGGTTTTTTTATGCTTTCAATTTTACTAAAAAATTACCCTTTATCTATCAGGTTTGATAGCAAGAGATTTTGCAGAGATTGTAGAAGAAATGTTATTCGAGAATTCAAGGAACTAAAAGAACTGAAGCGCATGCGCCGAGAACCTCGTTGCACCAGCTGGTTTTGTGTTGCTGACACTGCCTTTCAGTATGAGGTGTGACTTCCATATTTCTGTGCTGTGAAATCTGTTGTGATTGGGATTTCAATGGGAGAGTCTATAGTGACATTCCTATGAAAAAGGTAGTTTTATCAAGCTACCGGTGAGGACAAGATTAGATATTGTCCCTAACTCAATACATTTGTTTTTGTCAGGTATCCGATGACTCAATTCAAGCTGATTGGCGCCAGGAATTTGGGGATACTGTGGGATCTTATCATCACTTTGAGTGGGCTGTGGGGACAACTGAAGGAAAATCTGACATTTTGGAATTTGAAAATGTTGGAATGAATGAATGTGTTCAAGTCAGTGGCCTAGAGCTTGGTGGTTTAAGTGCATGCTTTATCACCCTCCGAGCTTGGAAAGTAGATGGACGCTGTACTGAACTTTCTGTTAAAGCTCATGCATTAAAGGGTCAACAGTGTGTACATTGCAGGCTAATTGTAGGGGATGGTTATGTTACAATCACAAAGGGGGAAAGTATCAGAAGATTCTTTGAGCATGCTGAAGAGGCAGAAGAAGAAGAGGTAGTTCAAGTTTCACTAAGGAAATAAAATTCCTTGCTATTGTCCATATTTCGTGGAATTTTGAAAATCATTTAGAAGGAATCTTATCTGAGTTTCATTTGTCAATTATACAATGTATGCTTCTAGGAGGATGATTTGATGGACAAAGATGGAAATGAGCTTGATGGAGAATGCTCCCGTCCTCAAAAGCATGCCAAAAGCCCCGAACTTGCTCGAGAATTTCTTCTAGATGCTGCCACTGTTATATTTAAAGAACAGGCATGCTTTGCTTTATCCTTATTTTTGTGCTTAATAGTCTGTCTTGATTCCTCCTTCCAGGGACAATCTTTATATTAATGATAATATGGTAGTCTGCTTGAAACAGTATAAATGGTGCAGTGAGGGGAAAATCAATATGACAAATGAATGAAATTTTATATCGTTAAGGTAATAATGATCAGCTTTGGCCTTAGCCCTTAGGATGGTATTAGGTTTATTAACCGTTGAACGCTTGTCTTTTTCCCTCTATAATGTGGAAAAAGTTTAGTGCATTCCACATACTATATTGTTTTTCCTTTTCTTTTTCTGGTCACTTTTTGGCTTCACAAACATATATAAGTTACTGTTCCTGAGGTTTTCTTCAATGACTCCCGAAACGAGTGGAGAATTATGAAATAGGGATTGTAGTAATCCCCTAAATTTCGCATTTAGGAAGAAATATGGATTGAATTTGTATTGTTAACAATTGCTAACATGCAATTTTATTTAGATTTGAATGAAGATGAATCAACTTTAGTACAACCTGCATAAATTTCATTTGGAGATGATCAGATTATGTAATAGTACTAAGAATAGAAAGCAAATTTGCCATTTGATTTGAGATAAAGGAGTAGGTTAGTTAATGACAATAAGAGAATATGTGGTAGGGTTAATCATAATATGTAGGATGTTGGGTTCAAAATCTGGATTTCCACTTGTAATTTAGGACTGTACCAAGTTTATTCTGTTTGTTTGGATTATTTTTCAGTCGCCTTGGTTTCTGTCTGGTTCAAACGCTGACCATGTGATATCCCTTTAGGTTGAAAAGGCTTTCAGAGAAGGAACAGCACGCCAAAATGCACACAGCATATTCGTGTGTCTTGCACTAAAACTGCTGGAGGAACGAGTTCATATAGCATGCAAAGAAATCATTACATTAGAAAAGCAGGTCTTAATTATTGTGCTTTTATTAGGATCAGACTTTTGGGAATAAAATTAAGAAACAGTAACTCTCCCTTCTATTTTGAGATTATACTTCCTAAATCCTAAATATATGATATTTTTACAGACAAAACTTCTTGAAGAAGAAGAAAAAGAAAAACGTGAAGAAGAAGAACGCAAGGAGAGGAAAAGGACAAAAGAAAGGGAGAAAAAACTTAGGAGAAAGGAAAGATTAAAAGGAAAGGAGAAAGATAAAGAAGAAAATTGTTCTGAATCAATTGATGCTCCTGGATCTCCTGAAGTCTCAAAGGAAGAATTGTCTGCAGCTGCTGATACAGTACACAATAATTCTATTGACTGCGGGAATTCAGTTATTGCAACAAACGAGACTAATTTATTAAGGGGTGATTATACTAACATTCAAGATGAAGACTTCTCTAGTGAGTGTAGCACTTTTAGAACACAAGACCCATCCTATGATGATTGTGATGGAGACATTGCAAATGTTGCAAATGCAGAAGACAGGAATGGTACTTCTACAGTAGAACAATCTAAGTTTTTTCGTCAAAGACTTAGGTTTAGGAAAGAATTTCAGCTGGATATGCCTACTAAGTGGTCTGACAGGCGCCATAATGTAGTAGTTTCAGAAAATGGTGTGATGGTTGGAAGATCTGAACCAAGACACTATGGAGATAATTTTGGGATCTCTTCCAGAGGAATCAATGGATTGAACAGGCAATCAAGAATAAATGTTCCAAAATCCAATGGTCGAAATGTTAGTCATAAGTGTAATGAGAAGTTCTATAATTCCAACAGCCGGATGAATGACAGATTTGATTTCCATTCTTGCAGTTGTAGCCTGAATAATAGAATGACTAGAGTTAGTCGGGAGACAAAACCTGCAAGTAAGTCTGAATCTGCAGTAGATACATCTAAGCAGTTTTATCGTAGTGGTAAGTATAATCATGCAGACTTCATGCACGAGAGTAGTGGAAAACCCAAAAGCAGAGTCATCTCGGGGAACTATCCTAGTAGGGATTTGCTTCAATTAAAGAAAGTTTGGGAGCCTATGGAATCACACAAGAAGTATGCTCGTAGTAATTCTGAATCTGATGTTACGTTGAGGTCCACGGATCAAGGATTTCAGTTTAATCTGGTTAGGTCATCTGTTGATGAAGCTGGTGATTCAGTTGAAAATGATAATGAGGATAGTAATTTGAACAGAAGTGGAATGGCTGAAGGCTGTCAGAATGATCTTGATGCAGAAGCTGAAAGATCTTGCAGTTCCACTGAAATTGCATCTGAGGAAAGTGGAACATGTCTGACCAGAGGCTCTGCCTTGAATAGTTCTTCTGATCCCAGTCAAGGTAGCACTTCTAGTTCTGATAACTGCTCATCATGCCCAAGTGAGGGTGATAATAATACAACCTCTTCAAACCGTGAAAATACAGAATCCTCAACATCGGATTCAGAAGATGCTAGCCAACAATCTGAAGTAAGAGATGGTTCAACCTGCATTGACAATGGCTTGTCTGGCTGTCATGAAGCTGGCAGAATGCAGAAAATCCATAAAGCAAATGGTGAGGGTTTGGCAAGCAGGTCATTGATTGGTTCATCCTTGGGTGTAGCAGGAAGTGATGCATCGGGGAGTCCTGTGGTGGAAATTGCCCAAAATTTTGATAATGGTTTTTCCTCCACCAATGTGTGTTCTCAACCACAAAGCATCCTTCCTCCAGTACCAAACCAAAATATACAATTTCCAGTGTTTCAGACTCCTCCAGCAATTGGTTATTACCATCAAAATCAAGTTTCCTGGCCAGTGGCATCCACAAATGGGTTGATGCCCTTCCCACACCCAAATCATTATTTATATGCTGGCCCTCTTGGGTATAGCTTAAATGAGGACCCACACTTCTGCTTGCAGTATGGTGCCTTACAGCAACCAACGCCCCCATTCAACCCTGCTGCTGTTCCAGCTTATCAGCCAGTTGCCAGAGCTAATGGCTTAAATGCCGAGGAACCGATGCAAATGTCTAAGCCAGCAACCATGCAAGAGCAACTTAATGGATCAATTGCAGAAAGGGTTGTCCCACCTGGAGCTAATTCCAAAAAATCAGCATTGAATGGGGAAGTTGGACATGGTAATTCTGCTAAGTTACAAGAGAATAATGGTGGTTTTTCCTTGTTTCATTTTGGTGGGCCTGTAGCCCTTTCAGCTGTTTGTAAATCGACTGCTGAATCTTCAAATGGTGACAATGCTGGAGATTTTAGCTCAAAATGTTCAGCAGATCCTGTCGAGAAAGATCATGCTTGCAATAAGAAAGAGACCACTGTTATAGAGGAGTACAACTTGTTTGCGGCAAGTAATACCTTAAGGTTTTCAATTTTCTAAAAAGAAGCGAGAAGTATAAAGGTGGCTGTTGTGGAATTCATTCCCTATCTTTACATGTCCTAATTGAGGTTTGAGTTCCTTATAATTCGGTAAACAATAAGCTTCCTTGAGCAGTTTATAATTTTATCGTACAGTTTTATTAGTTGATTGTTACCCAAATTGTCTCTGTTTTTCCTTTGATGTAGAGAAAGATTGCGAGTGCTGGTATTTTGAAGGTTAATTTTTTTTCTTTTTTCGGTGAGACATAATCCCCCCCTCCCTTTTTTTTCTTATAAGTTTCAGAGAAGCATTTGTTCGTGGCAATTTTTTTTTTCCCCTTGTCATGCTGCAACAAAAGCTGCTTCGTAGTGGAAGCTGTATTCTGGATTTTGAGTGGACAGTATCAATGTGATCAAAGTATTATATTTGCTTGACTCTGTTAGATGTTTTTTTTTTTCAATGGATGGAAAAATATAAATGGTAATTTGAATCAGATTTTTACTGTCATCCTTAAATGTGAGTATTTCACTCGACCTTGTAAAGTGAATGGTTTACAGACAAAATTGCTGTATGTATTCTATTATTCAGAGATTATTGGTTCAATAGAGTTTATACGGTAGACTTGTGAGATGATGCAAATGATCTTTGATTATGGCGGTGTACGATGTCGCCAAAGAAAATTACTACGAACCACTGAAGGAGCCTTGTGAAGATTTCGTTCATAGGGCCCTAGAATGTTTGAAGGGGAATTGGAAAGGACAAAAGGCACAACCAAAATTTAAAATGTCCATGATGTGTTTTGAAAGAAATTTTATGTATACTTGTATACATGGCCTGTGCCAAGCCAGGATAAAAAAGAAGAGTTGGCGTCAGGTGTAATGAGCCGGTCATAAAAGCTGTTATATTTATGAGACAAATTCTCATGATTTTTCATTGGGGCGTATCCTTTGTAGCGACACATTGCATCGGATCTCGAGTGTGGCGAAAAATAAGTTAGGGCCCTTGGCACAAGGCAAGACACTGCATTGGTCTCGGGATGCAGTGATAAATGAGCTAGGGTCCTTGCCTCAAGGCAAGGCGCTAGGTTTTCACCCGGATTTGATGACAAATAGGTCAGGGTCCTAACACGCATATGAGCAAGCGTGGAGGGCAAGTACAGCCCAGGGGTTAAGGATGCGACTGGTAAATTGGAACATAAGAACCTTAATGGGTAAATTGAGGGGGTTAACATATGTTTTTGCTAAAAAGAAAGTGAATATTGTTTGCTTGCAGTAAACTAATTGGTTTGGAGAAAAGGCCAATGAAGTGGATGATGCAGGTTTCAAGTTGTGGTATACAGGTATAAACAAGAGTCGAAATGGTGTTGGAATTATGATTGATAAAAGTTTTAGAGATAAAGTTTTTGACGTCAAAAGGAAAGATGACATGATTATTCTGGTTAAGTTTGTAGTGGGTGACTCAATTTTAAATATCCTCAGTGTGTATGTGTAAGAACCCGCACCGTTAATTTAAGAAAGTAATTAATTAAATGAGAATTAGAAAATAATTTCATAATTGACCCTAATAATTATGAGAAGGCTTGAATAATTATAGAAAGTAATTAATAATGTAGAAAGTCACTTTTCTGACGAAAAGTGCAGATACCGGTTCTGCTCCACGGTATAAATGCGTACCGGTGAAGTATCCCGGAAAATGATAATAAGTGTGAGAATATTCCTAAATTAATATATAGGACTAGCATAACAAGTTTCAGGTCAAAATAATGAGAACTGGTGCCAGAACTGATACTGGCTATGTAAAAGCGCGTACCGGAAAGGTGTTGCGAAAAATAAAATAAAAATATGTCAAATCCTAAAAAAATGAGTAGGTTTAGAATCCAAATTTTGGGTTTAAAATACTAAGTGTGGCTATTAGTGCTAATACAGTGTGGTTAGCATTAATAAGACTATAAATACTCACTTGCACAATGACCTAGGTCAGACTTGAGGTGACTACGTGAAGTTGTTTTCAAAGCTTGGCTACTGAAACTCTCTTCCACCATTCTATGGCCTTCTTCCTCATGAAACTCCACCAAAGTGACCACCTTTCTTCATAGTCTCTTCACCAAAACACCGTAGCTAGGTGTGAGCAAGCCTTTAGTGGGTGAAAGGTTATACTTCGTTAAGTGTCAGCTGCTGAGTTGGTGGGTTTAGGGTGCTGAGTTTGTGAGTTGGTTGTGTAAGCCTTGTTCATGCCATAGGAGGCTCTAAGGAGCTATCTTGTGAAGTAAAAGACCAACCTTGGTGTACATTTTCGTGTCCTTACAAGTCAGAACCTTTGAGCTTTGTTGGGAGCTCTAAGGAGGAGTCTTTTTCTGAGTTTGAGTCTCTTGAGGTATACCATGATCATTCCTTTTGTTGGACAAGTGGCTTCAATACTCAAGAGGGGGGGTGAATTGAGTTTTACAAAATCTTTTCGCAAAGTACCTCCTTTTATATTTTAAAGACTATTTCTTCAATAAAGTGATTTAATAAGGAAAAATCTAAGTGTAAGAGCAAGTGTAGTGATCAACAAAGTAAGCAAGCAAATATATAAAGATAATCTAAAATGCAATTTTAATACTTAAATAAAGAGATTAAGGTTAGAGAAATTGCAAACTAGATGTATCTTGGTTCGGTCACCACCACCGTGACCTACGTCCAGACTAAAGCCGCTCGATCAATTATTTTCACTAACTATCAAGCTTGAGGGTGCTTGACAAATCACTACAACCTTTCAAGACTTCGGGCTCTTGATGCCTTACACTTTTTCACTCCAAATTTTCTTAGGAATTTGGAGACCTTTCAAGTGTATAAGGTTGACTCCCCTAACTATTCAAGAAATCAAATGGAGGTGTTTAAGCAATAGCTAAGTACTCTCAAAGTACAAATAATACAACAAGAATAAAGCTCAAGAATGATTTATGATCAAGATGATAGAAAGTAAGTAAATGATGTGAAATAAAGCAAGGATTATGATCAAGAGGTGTGTCCCATCAAGGGGAACAATGGTCACTATTTATAGAGGCCTCCCATGACCCTTTGCACACTCATTTTACCAAAACTAGCCATTTATAGCCGTTATTTTCGTCCTCTGGTGCAGTAGGAATCGATTCCCTCTGAGTGGGAATCGATTCCCTCTGAGTGGGAATCGATTCTCAACCTTTTTGATGAGTGGGAATCGATTCCTTATCACAGGGAATCGATTCCCAACCTTTCAAAAGAGTTGGAAATACGTTTAAAAATATTCTAAAACCTTTTCAAACATGTTTATATGAAAGCATAATGTTATAAGTCCTCTGTGTAATCAAATGGTAATTTAATGCAAGTATTTTAGCAAAAATACGTTTGAGCTTATTCATGCAGGAAGTCAGTTACCCTTACAATTTATTCTAAGTCCTAAAGTATATTACTTGATAATCCTTGGACTTAGATTCTTCTCTTGAAGCTTGAATCTTGAAGGACTTCATGATCGTTGGATGTTTGTTTCTTTTTGATTGTTGCAACTTGAAGCCTTCCTTTCATGCTTGTTTGTTATCATCAAAATCGTTGAACCTTTATATTCTTTACGTAGAGTGCATTGGTTCCACAATCTCCCCCTTTTTGATGATGACAAACTCAAATTGAGAAATGAATTAGTATAGAATGTATTTAGAACAAATGTAGTATTGAAACTCCCCCTTAATATATGATTGATATAGAAGGTGAAAATCTAGGTTTCATGTAATTTCCCTTTTATGTTTGAGTTTCATTCTCCCCCTCTTTACCTTAATATATGCCTATGGTTTTCTCAATTTACGTATCTTTCTCCCCCTTTGGCAACATCAAAAAGCATGAAAGTGTATGTAGAAACCTTAAAATAATTCATGCAAGAAACTCAGAAGGAAAGCAGAATAATCCATAAAAGTGCATAATAATTCATAATCTAATCAACCATAGTTCATAAAGTCAGAGTCGTAGAGATGCAAAATATCCAAAGTAGCACGGTAAAATATAAGCATAATAGAAGTCCAAAAGCATAAAAAAAAAAAAATCAGGAAGAGTCATCAGAGCCAGGTGGAGGTAGAGACGGAAGAGGAGGAATGTCAACGTGGTCCTCGATGCGCTTGAGGCGGTACTCCATATTAGTCTGACGGGTCTAAAGAGTAGAGATGCCAGCCCCTAATGAATCAAAGCCAGACTGTATGGTGGTCTGCAATGATGTAAGGGAAGTCAAGAGATAGGCCATGGAATGGTCTGCAGAAGAAGAGGCATCAGCTGGGGCAGTATCCTGTGAAGGAGCGTCTGCTGGAATGTCCTGATGAGGTGCAGCTGCTGTAGGAGGATTTGTCTAACGACCCAATACACCACCAACTTTCTTTATCTGCATTTGAGCAAGCTGGTGTTCCCCAAAGGAGTGCAAGTTTTCTTTCACGATCTCACCCTCGTCATCAACCTGCTGAAATCACATAATGCGATAAATAAGAGTGGCATACGGAAGAGGACCGGAAGACTGGGCTTTCATCATCATGGAGCAGAAATAAAGTGGCCAGTTGAAGTCTATGCCAGATCGAATGACCCACATAAGAAAAAGATCATATTCATATACCACAGAGTAGTTGGATGCCCTTGGATACGGAATGTGAGTGACAACGTAGTGAAGAATCCGGTTGTCCATAGTGAGGTAATTAACACTGAATTTGGATTTCGTGATATGGACACTAGGTTCCACAATTGTTGGAATAAAGGCAGACCTATCAAACTCAGGGTACACGTCAGGGTCTGTACGGCCGGCATAGGGACAACCAATCAGACTAGGCCACTCAGTGGGCGGGACAGAAATGGATTTCCCTTTGATCTCAGCTGTTAGATTGTTGTTCTTAAAGGACACAGTAGTATAGAATGCTCTAATCATATTCTCCACATACTTTTCTTTTAAAATGGACATTTAGAGCATATGGTTATTGCTCAATAGGTCACAGATTTCAAAGCCTTCAGCATCCAGGAACTGGATATCGAGATACTTTGGCTCGATGATTTTCTCCTTCGCATACTTCTTCTGGAAGGTGGCAAGCTGTTTGGCTGTGGAAAAGTATCTTCCATGGAGAGTGGTTCTTTTGCGTTTTGGGTTGGAAGATTCAGCCATTGGAGCAACCTGTGAAATAAGGATAAAATTAGACGGCTATGATTATAATGAAATCAAAATAAAGATGTATGAGGATGGCATAAGGCAGCATGCATACTAGAGGAGTATAAATAGCTAAGTAGACCTTTTAAGTTTCAATAGGCAATGTGTAGAATATAAATTGATGCAGCATATAGTTTGAGAAGTTGAAAAAAAAAAAAGACAACATGGGCAGCAACATACAAGACATCATAATGCATTGCATGACTAGGGGGATGCATATAACGAAAATCAGATTTAGAGATGCATATGAGAGGGGGTTAACAATGCATATTTTAA